TCTCTCTCTCTCTCTCAAAATAAACAAATACATCTAAAACAAGAAACAATACAGTTTTTTTTTCAAAAATTTTTTTTATGTTTTTACTTTTGAGAGAGAGACAGAAGGCAAACGGGAAGGGCAGAGAGAGAGGGAGACACAGAATGTGAAGCAGGCTCCAGGTTCTGAGCTGTCTGTGCAGAGCTTGACTTGGGACTCAAACTCACGGACTGGGAGATCATGACCTAGCTGAAGTCGGACACTTGACCGACTGAGCCCCCCAGGCGCCCCAAAATGATAGTTTAAAAACTAACCAACTAACATGAAAGAGTCAGGACAGACACCCAGCTCTCCAAAGTGCACTCCTCCCTTGTTTCTTGGCAGAACCCTCAACTTGGTGAAGCTTTTTTTCTTCTCGTCAATGGTTAGCTGGGTGATCAGGTCTCAGCCAGGGGGGACCTACTGTGCACTCAGCCTCCCAGCGTGGCTGGTGGTGGTCACGGCGACTCACCAGAGCGTGTGCCATGTGGTTGGGAGAGACACCGGGCAAGACAGCCTCGCTGTGTGCGCATGACCGTAGACGTGATGCCATCGCTATCCACTGCAATGCCCCTTGGGCAAGGTGGGGTTCGTAGTGTGAGGGGCGTTGGCATGAGACCCCAAGAGACAGAGCCAGGTGAAGAGCAGCCTATCCGCAACTCCGGTTAGGTCAGAGGGGTAGGGGCGGGCAGGGGAGGGAACACATGGGAGGGAACACACTTACGACAGCCTTGCTCGTCTGAGCCATTCTCGCAGTCCACCTGGCCGTCACATCTCCAGAACTCAGGGATGCAGCGGTTGACACGGCCCCCACAGCTGAAGTCCCCCAGCTTGCAGGTGACAGACACTGTGGGAGAAACGGGATCGAGCCTTCACTCTAAGGGAAGCCCGGTCTGCCTCTCCAGCCCCCGCTTGGCAGAGGAAAAACAGTTTTCAAAAGGAGGGTGCCACGCCCACCTTTCTGGGTCAAAATGAAGGGTATCTCACGGAGCTTGTTAAAAAAATCAGACGTGAAGTGATGGAAAGGTTTGGAAGGAGACAGAGGTGGTGGTTGTATAGCATTGTGACTGCATCAATACTACTGAACTAGTCAGTTTAAAATGGTTAATTTTATCTCATGTAAATTTCACTTTTTTTTTTTTTTTTTTAAGTTGTTAAAGTTAAGTTCCAGAAATAACTCTTCTCCCAAGTCCCAATTCATGGTCGAACACATCAATCTGCGGACTGATTTCCACCTCATCTGTCACCCACTGTCATCAAAAAGGGCAGGAAGCGTGTTACTCGCAAAGGGGACTCACTGCAGGTCTCCTGGGACTCATCTGAGGCATCCAGGCACTCGGCGCTCCCGTCACAAACCCACTTGTAGGAGATGCACTTTCCATCTTGGCACTGGAACTCGTTTCTCCCACATTTGTCCGCCACTGAGAGAGAAGGGAAGAGAAAGGACCATTCAGTGCCAGAACCAGAAACTGACGACGTCACCTGTGTGTGTCTATTTCCTGCCAGCTGAAGAATGAATCCGATCCTTCCCAGGAAACAGAACACACACAACAAATTTCATAAACCAAAAGTATAGTGGAGGATGCAAAGAATAGATCTAGAAGAGCGGCCTGCCAACAACGTGTAAAACTTGACATAATGGTATGGGTCCATTAAGGTAGGGGAAAAAATCCTCCCTTGCACATGAATAAAGCATATTACAAACCTGTGCTGGAAACAGTAATGAAGAAAATGGACACTATTAAATCATCAAGCTGAAGGAAAAATGAGGAGCCTTCTCTAGTAGGTAGGGAGGAAATAAAGAGAGATAAAATTCTGAGAAATCATTAGTTTATTTATTTTTTTGGGTGGGGGGAGCAGACAGAGAATCCCAAGCAGGCTCCGCACTGTCAGCACAGAGCCCGATGCCAGGCTTGATTCATGAACCAGGAGATCATGACCTGAGCCGACCAACTGATACACCCAGGTGCCCCTAGAATGTCTTTTAATCTACTTCAATATAGATAGAGGTGGGGTAACTACCAGTTTCCTTGGTCTACTTGTAACTTTAAATCTTCACATTCCTTTGAGAGTAAGGATCCAAATTTATGTCACTAAGAGGTTTTCAAACTATCAAGACTCTTAATCTCAGCTCAGGTCTTTGACAAAGAATCTCAAGCAGGTTCCGAACTGTTAGCTCAGAGCCCACAGTGGGACTCAAACACAAACTGTGAGATCATGACTTGGGCCAAAACCAAGAGTCAGATGCTTAACCAATGGAGCCACCCACGCGCCCCTCAGCTCAGGTCTTGCTCTCGGGGTTGTGAGTTTGAAGCCCTGAGTCAGGCTCCCATGCTAGGGGAGAAGCCTACTTAAAAAATAATAATAATAATTGGGGTGCCTGGGTGGCTTAGTCGGCTGAGCATCTGACTCCTGATTTCGGCTCGGGTTATGATCCCAGGTTTGTGGGACAGGGCTACACAGGGAGTGTGGAGCCTGCTTGGGATTTTTTTTTCTCTCCCATTGCCCCTCAATCCCCCTCTCAAGCTAGCTAGCTAGCTAGCTAGTTAGCTAGCTAGCTACATACATACATACATAGGGGCACCTGGGAGGCTCAGTCAGTCAAGCGTCCAACTTTGGCTCAGGTCATGATCTTGCGGTTTATAGCTTTGAGCCCCTACTGACAGCTCAGAGCCTGGAGCCTGCTCTGGATTCTGTGCTTCCCTCTCTTTCTGCCCCTCCCCAATTCACACTCTGTCTCTTTAAATAAACATTAAAAATTTTTTTAAATAAATAAATCTTATTCATGATGGTATCCTACTTAGATTTAAAATCTCAAGTCAGGGGTGCCTGGGTGGCTCAGTTGGTTGAGCGGCCGACTTCGGC